CGGGTGGCCCGGCTGCCTCCGTGGGGCCCCAGCCACCGCTCTGGTTGTCCTCCCTGCTAGCGGACAAATGGGGCTCCGAGGAGGTGGCAGCTTGGCTGGAGGGGCTTGGTTTGGGGGAGTACAGAGACATTTTTGTCCGGCATGACATCCAGGGCTCTGAGTTGATCCTGCTGGAGAGGAGAGACCTGAAGGTACAACCCTCCTTGTGCCCCCTGAGGGCCCCCCAGCCGGGGGAGCAGCGTCCTCCATCTCTCCCCATTCCTCATGGGGGTGGGGGGGAAGGCAGGTGCTGACCCTGCACCCAGCCCCAGCCTCGCAGTGCTGAGCTTGCACCCCTCGCTTCGCTTGCACGCAGGGGATAGGAGCAGGGGAGGGGGTTGGCCCTGGCCCCCTGGCTTGCAAGGCCCCGTACGCCTGCCCAAAGCAGGATCAACAGCACCATGCCCTCTCTTGCACCCAGGCATGGGGACATGCTTGCAAGAGGACAGAGGCCTCCTAGCACAGACCGTGCTCTGGCAGGGAGAGCAGAGGGAGCTGGGCTTTGCAGCCTTGCCCTCCACCCCGCAGCTTCCTTGCTAGCGAGAGCAGGGGGCTGCCCACCTCCGAGCACATCAGCTCCCCTCTCTCGTTCCTGCAGGACCTGGGGATCAACAAAGTGGGCCACATGAAGAGAATCCTCCAGGCCATTAAGGAGCTCAGCAACCCACCCTAGGCCAGCGGTGGGGCAGCAGCCCAGCCCACGCACTGGGTGCTGTCCCTAAAGACCAGGGGTCAGGCAGGGGGGCTCCAGGTCCCCACTGTGACCCATGTATGTGGAGCCCCCCTGCTTGCCTCGCTTTGTCTGTTTGTCTCCCGCTGTCCCTGGAGCTGCTGCTTCTCCCCCAGGCTGTGGGCTAGAAACACTAAAGCTGAGGTCTAGTCCCATGGGCAACACAGTGTGACCCCGAGTCCCTAAAGACAGGGGTCAGGCAGGGGGGCTCCAGGTCCCCACTGTGACCCGTGTATGTGGAGCCCCCCTGCTTGCCTCGCTTTGTCTGTTTGTCTCCCGCTGTCCCTGGAGCTGCTGCTTCTCCCCCAGGCTGTGGGCTAGAAACACTAAAGCTGAGGTCTAGTCCCATGGGCAACACAGTGTGACCCCGAGTCCAGCCCACGGCAGGGTCACTACAGGAGCTTGGGCTGCCACGTGTGTACCCAAGCTAGGGCCAAAGCAAAGATCCCTCTTCCCCTGTTGGTATTTAAGCTGTGTAAATATTTGGAGAAGAGATACTCATTGCTGCTTCTTGTGTAGTGTCATTACTTTGAGGAAAGGCAAAGGGTGCGGGGAGGGCAGTGGGGACCTGGCCGCTTCCAGCCTTCAGCTCTCGGCTTCCTGCTCTCACCCCTTCCTGCTCCCCCATCATACAAACCACACCTGCGGCCACCCTCTGCCCCAACACAACAAGGGGAAGCACAGCTCAGGGGCCCAGCATAGTCTCTACCACGATCCCCTACCCATCCCAGCAGCCACCACCAGCACATAAGGCAAACACAACATTTTATTGACAACTCTACATGACCTTTTTTTCCTCCCCCCCTCTCTCCCCTCCAGTTAAAACTGCTATTATTTATGTACATGGTGCTCCCCTGCCAGAGACCACCCAGCTATTTACAGGCTATTTACAGAGACAGGGCTAGCAGCTCTTCAGTATCTCCTCCAACCTGAGCATGTCCATGGGGGTGACTTTGGCAACCTCAAAGAAGACCCTGGAAGGAACCACATTGGCTTAGAGCTCAGCCACAGCCCTGACACCCATCCACCAGAGTGCCCCAGTTCTCTGCAGCACCCAAGGGTGCATGCTGGTGGTGCCACCCTCCGCAGAGGGGGCAGGCACAAGGCAGAGGCCTGTGATGCTCACCTGTGCGAGTACTTGGTACGCACGGCCTTTAGCTTGTCGCGGGGCTGGTATGTGAGAAGGAAATTCAGCCTCTTCACCAGGGGATGCAGGTCCTGGGAGCAGTACCCGCTGTAGTACTCCAGCGTTGGTGTCTGCAAAGGAACAGCAGGGCTCAGCGGGGTCCTCTCAGCAACGGTACAGCCATCTTCCCTCTTCAGCCCCCCCAGATCTGAGCATAGCCCCAGAGCATCACGCCTGCACGCCGGTCCATCCACTCCTGCACCCTCTGTGGTGCCCCGAGCAGGTTTGGCAGGCGCTTACTTACCCAGCCACCAAGGTTCTTCATGGTGAGGGCCAGCAGCAGGCAGCTGGCAGCCAGCTTGGAGGGGCTCTCCCTGGCATAGTCGTACTCCTGCAGGGTCATCTCACAGAGGAAGCGGGCCAGCGTCAGCGTCTCCATGGTGGCACGGGCGCACTACAGCCAGACAGGCAGGAAAAGGCTCAGCCTTTTGAGCAAGCTGCCCCCAACGCCAACCTTTGTGGAATCTAGAGTGCTGCCCCTGGGGCACGGGACACAGATCCCACACCTCCACTCTGCCACAGACCAGCATCTTCACCCCTCAAGCCTGTCGGGGGGCCTGGCCAAACCCTGCTTGCTGCCAGCTGGGATCCCAGGGCCCAGGGGATGCTCATCACCACCCAAGAGCCAACACGAGGGCTGCCTGGATGCACCTTGACACCAGCCCATCCTCCTGCTGCGCTCACCTTGGCAAAGCGTCGCAGGAACCGGTAGGGAATGGGGATGTTGATGTCGAACTTGAGGGTGCTGAGGATGCTCATCTCCATAGCAATGAGCTCTTCCCGTTTGTAGGCATCATCGCAGATGTAGAGAAAGTCATCCACGCATGGTGGGTACCGCTCCTGCCAGGGCACAACCGCTCAGCACCCTAACAGGGCTCATCCTGGCCACGCTCAGGAAAATCCTACCAGTCTGCAGGCCCTGTAAAGGCTTACGCCCTGCCAGACCCCGAAAGGTCCAGTGGGGCTCGTGTGTTGTCTGTACTGCCCCAGACACTGGCTCTAACTCCAAGCTTTGCTTGCATGAGGTGAACTCAGGTGTCCTGGTGGTCTCCGCACAGCGGAGAGGAGCCAGGTCTCCAGTGACATGGGGAGACAGGATCCAGCCCACTGGCATTGCATTTGCAGCCCTTGGGATAGGAAGGGGTAACATGAGGACAAACACACCGCCCCAGCAGCTCTCAGGGCAGTGGCCTGGCACCGCGGGGACCTGGCCTTCTCCAGTAACCCATCGGGACCAGAGACGTAGAGCCCCCTCCACCCCAGCACCCCAAGAAATCACATAAGGAGTCACCTCAAATTTGGAGGCAATGAGGATGGCGGTAGAGCCGATAAGCTGTAGCTTGTCCCTCATGCTCACCACCTCCACCAGGTAGTGGTCCACCAGCTTCACAGCCAGGTACAGTGTCTCATGGTTCAGCTCAAAGTTCTCCTGCAAGGGTGTGGGCAGAGGGGCAGAAGAGGGTGTCAGGGAGAAGCTTGTCCCTCCTGGCAACCCCCCTTACAGGGGCCGGGCTTGGAGGGGAGAATGCAGGCTCATCCCAGGCCTGGGGAGGAAGAAGATCAGCTCTGCACCAGGGATGCCCACAGGAGCCTCTGCTAGCATCCTGAGGTCCCACATGCCAAAGGCAGGGTGGGGGCTGCTCTGCAGCAGGCCATGTCCCTTCCCCAGGCCCACGTACCTGCACCTCCACCATCCAGTCCACCAGGATGGCACGCATGTCCCTGCTGATGTCTGGCTGCTTCTCCATGTAGTCGGGGAGCACAAATTTCTCCTGCCGGGGTAGTACCAGCTGTCAGGGACTTGCCAGACATCACCACTGTCAGATGAGTTCCCTCCCACCCCATGAGGGCCCCTGGCAGGTGAGCAGAGCCTCTGGGCAGCGGGTGGCCCTGCTGACGTGGTCACCCCTTCCCCCGGCACGGCTCCCAGCCCCTGGCCAGGCATCACCCACCTCTCTGCTCCGCATGTATTCGAAGATGTCCTTGGCGTACTCTGCACTGGCATAGGGGTCACCCAGCTGCTCCTTGTCTATGTCCTCCACTGCTGGTACCTGGTGGGGTGAAGGAGGCAGCAGTAAGGGGGAAGCCCCAAGCTCTGCAGGTGCCCATCGCCCCTTTAGCTCAAGGTTGCTGCACCTCTTTGACCCTTTCCCCATCTGCCACCCTCACCCTGCAGTCCCCAGTCCATTCTTTCCCATGGGAGGTCTTTTGAAGGAAGAATGTGGGTGCGGGTTTACCCCCTCCCCAGCTTCCCATCACACTGGTCCAAGTATCTCTGAGGTCCAAAGCACTGCCTGGTGCCCCCAGTATCACGAGTGGCAGCCACAGACTGGCACTGCCAGGTTGTGACCAGGGGCCAG